TAGCCTAATTTTTAAGAATCCGGTTAACCCTTTCGGTACATCTTTTGAGATTCGAGCTTTAAAATTCCAATTTTTTTATTAAATGATCCTTAATACATAATATAATAACATTCAATTTAATTTTTTCCAAAATGCGATTCTAAAGTGTTTTTTGGAATGATGCCATATGGCATCATTTGTACTAACTGGTGTAAAAAATATGCAAAGATTTTTTAATATGGTATTTTATTTTCTTCAAATCAAATTAAATAACACCACAAAAATGTAATAAGATAAGTTGGAACATGCATAGATTTAATAATTCATTTAAAAAATTTACCAGTTGCAATTTTCCAGTACAAATATATCGTTATTTGCTGGTGCGTATTTCAGCTCCTTCAAATATTATTGATGCCATATGGCATCATACACATTAAAAATATACCACGCGTTTATTAGCACTTTTTTAAATTAAATTACAAGTTCTAGCAATATTTGACACTATTTTGGAGACTATAGCATATTTATTTGTTTTTCATTTATTGGGTTATTTGGTAAAATATAGTATTTTAATGTAGACCTTTCTAAGCAGAAGAAAATCGATATTATAGTAAAGTTTTAAAATTGAAATTTTTCATCTACTAAGGATAGAAACAACAATACCATATTAAACAAGTAAGAAAGTCTAAGTTCGGTCGGAGCCGAACATTAAATACCCGGCGCAAGTATTATAAATATGTTTTTTCACCTTTCCGAAACCTTCCGCTAGATGGTAAGCCGGGGTGTATCAATTTTCAGTAAATTAGCGTCCTTCAATTTCGAAATATTGAAGTTCTGAGATTTACCGTTTTATGAGAAGCGGCCGTTATTTTAGTCCGATTTCAATAATTTTCAACGTTTTGCTTATATGTGGCAAGCACAATAACCACACCGAGTTTGGTACAAATTGGTAGAACGGTTACCGATATACTTATATGTGATCATAAGTGGACGGTGCCACGCCCATTTTGCAAAATTTTACCATAAACGTATTTCTTGGTAAAGAATTGTTGTAAGCATCAATTTTGAATAAATTAGCTTCAATATTTACTGATTTATCGAAGATTTTGTATTTCTCTAAATTACCGTTATATGAGATAGGGGCGTGGTTATTCTCCGATTTCCAAAACATTCGGCCAATTCGTATGTTATATCAAGGCCAACAACGGTGCCAAGAAAGAAATTGGTGCAGCGGTTGCCAAGATATGCACATGTAACCATAAGTGGGCGTGGCTACGCCCCTTTTCCAAAATATTATAATATTCTTATTTTTCGTCTAAAACTTATTGTAAATATCAAGTTAATTAGTGAGTGAATTATCTTCAGTAGTTACTAAAATATCGCAGTTTTCGTATTTCTGGAAATTACCGTTATATGGGAAGTGGGCGTGGCTACGCCCATTTTCCAAAAATTTATAATATTCTTATTTTTCGTCTAAAAATTATTGTAAATATCAAGTTAATTAGTGAGTGAATTATCTTCAGTAGTTACTAAAATATCGCAGTTTTCGTATTTCTGGAAATTACCGTTATATGGGAAGTGGGCGTGGCTAAAGTCCGATTTCGCCCATTTTCAATACCAACCTACCTTGGTTTAAGGGAAACCTACATACCAAATTTCGTTGAGATATCTCAATTTTTGCTCGAGTTATCGTGTACACGGACGGACGGACAGACGGACGGGCAGACATGGCTTAATCGATTTCTTTTTTCATCCTGATCAGTTATGTATACATTTGTCTCGATTCGTTTTGGCTGTTACAAACAACCGTTATGTGAACAAAATTAATATACCCTTGTGCACAAGTGCGCTCGGGTATAAAAATGGTTTATAAAACTTCCCATTACAGCGTTGCATATAAAAATATAATTTCAGATAAGCTCAATTAAATCTGTGTGTATTCAAAAAAGCATGACGCCATATGGCATCAAAATAGCGAAAGGGTTAATCGTTTATGAAGCTTGAATACATTTTCTAAACACACTCTGCAAGACCTTTCCAACGATATCTCAAACATGTCGATTGGACGTCTGGATAAAAACTTCCAAATCTCGTGTATATATGCTCCTGTGGCTTCTTTCGTCACTCGCGCGCACTGCCGTGCGCTGTGATTTCAATGGAAAATTTTAGTTGAGGAAAAAGAAGTACATACACTTTGTGCCAAATTGAAAAATTAAGTGCCATTTGATGTAAAATAGGACCAAAACTGGTACGGTTTCAGTCAAGTTGGCAGCCCTCTTTGCGACAGGAGCAACAGAAGTTACCATACTTGATTGCCTTCATGCCACATCGAGCTCGTTTATTTGGCTGTGGTGAATCGTCTACCTCGGAACGATGCTTGCTACGCTACGTACACGTTCGTGGATTCCGATCAGTTACAAGGGCATTTATTTTTGAAAGCTGTCGCACACGATCTTGTCAAACTATACATTCAACGCCGTCAAGAGCTTCCACACTGCGAAAGCGCGATAGCAATCATAAAGAAGATGAAAAATTAAATTCCTTCAACCAACTTTAAACGTTAATTTTTTTAAGAGATAAGATGTAATGACTTTTTAAAAAATTGTATATCATAACCACATTAATATACGTTTTAGTTTGGAATACTGCCACTGAAGACAAGGTATTTTTTTTTTTTTGATAAAAGAGAATCAGCATCAAAACATAAATAAATAACCAGAAAAAAATCTTTTTTAGTTTGAAGTGATGTTTTTGAAAAACTTTAAAAGTTTATTTTTTTGTTTAAAGTCGCAACGGAACTGAGGTTAAGATTTCTTTGCTAAAAGAGAATCAGCATAAAAGTAAAAAATATATATTTCTAACAAAAAAAATAACAAATGATAATTACAAAAATATATAAAAGCTTAAGAAACACTAAAAATATAAACTCTAGTACATATGTTGCCCATTGAAAATGCTTCTTTTGGAAATTTCAAGACCCTACCCCTAATTTTATTCGTTTTTATGAAAAATATTATTGCCTATTTTTATAGATTTTTTAAAGGTCATTTAGAGGTCGCGACCTGTTGACTTAGGTCAGAAAATAGGATCTTGTAGACTTATGAGTGTTTGAATGACTATTTTTGATTCGATTTCAAAGATCGAATATGATCTGAGATGAGGATATACAGGTCTTTAAAATGGTATATAAAAATCTATTCTCGCACTAGGCTTGTTGGGATTTTTTATCGGGTAAATTAAAAAAACAATCCTATTTCTCTTATTTATTTAAATTTTGACCATCGATTATTCTACAATTTTAAAATATGGAGCACCATCTAAAATTAAAACTATTTTCAAATAAACTGATACCTAATTTTTATAAAATTTTTTTTTTTTAATTTTTTGCAATTATCAAAGGCCACAGGAAGTCGGTGTTGTATGAATGGGATTTTTAAGAAGAAATTTGAATACGCATTTTAGCGGCCCTGAAACGGTAGTTGACTGATCGAATGAAACTGGATTTGTCTTCATCTTCAATAACAAATTCAAAAGGAGGCAAGGGAGGCTCTAAATCATGTTAAATTTGATGAAGGAGAAATTAGAAAAAACCTCTATTAGAAGACCTATTGAACCTGAATGCAGCCTAGTTTTGACTTTAATGCAAGTGAACATTTTACTTTGTTCTATAATTCCGAGTAAAAATATATCAAATCCTTTAGGTTTTTATCGCAAGGTGCCAAATGGCACACACTTGTTTGGACGTTTCGGATGGGAGTATCAACTGTTCGATCAATTCATGTCACATATATGGAATGAGCTACTGACTTTTTCTATTTGACTGGACTTCCCAATTGCGTTGGGACAATCGACGGGAAGCATGTACAATTGAAATGTCCTGCTCATTTCGGTTCTTTATATTACAACTATAAAGCGCTTTATAGTGTTGTGCTCTTAACCATTTGTGACAGCAACTATTGTTTTACAGCTATAGATATTGGGGCCTATGGTAGTCAGAGTGATGATGGAGTTCTACAGATGAGCGAATTCGGAAAAAAGCTTTTAAAAAATGAAATTGACTTGCCACCCAAGATTAAGCCATGCAACACAAATGTTGAAATACCGTACTACATACTTTGTAGCAGACGCTGCGTTTCCTTTGCGTATGAACATTATGAGGCCTTACCCGGGACACTCGCTTCCACACGACAAGGCGGAATTTAACAAAACACTCTCAAAGGCCAGATCAAAGATTGAGAATACTTTTGGAAAAATGACAATGCGCTGGCGAATACTTAGAGATGGTCTGCAATGCTCTCCAGAAAACGCAATCAAAATTATACTAGCTGTGGTAGTTTTACACAACTTCGTAAAAATGAACGACGGTACATATTGTCCTCAAACTGCGGTTGACCACTCTAATGGCAACGAAGAAAGGCAGGTCTTTGGAGGAAGCGCATTCATCCCTTAACGCAAACGAGGTTGTTTTCTCGTTACAAGCTTTTGGTGATCGCGATCAGCTGAAAAAAATTATTAAAAATAAGAGAGTAAGAGAGCGTCTTGAAATTTGCATTTTATCCCTCTAAAATTTAACGTGTTATAAAACTGCGTGCGTAAAATTTTTATAAAATTTGTGAATAAAAAGTTTGATATTTTTAGATGTAAGTGGTCAAGTTAGTTGAATAAAACGTTAAAGTTAGTTAAATAAACGAAATCAGCTGACCACAAGGGTACGTACTTACAAAGGCATCCAATCCCGGACCATTTTGTGAATCCCGGGACCTTGTGTTTTTAACCAAAGAATTTTAACCAAAGAAATTTCAGTATTCAGCAACAACTTTATTAAATATATATAATTAGTTACAATGTTCGCTTGTTGATGTTCGCTACGCGACTGCCTATTATTGCTAAGACTCAAGTTATGTATACTTAGGCTAACCGTAATATTTATAGTATGTGCATACATACATATAAGCTGCAGTGAGCGAACGAGAGTATTTAGTAAGTTTGAGTGCAAGAGATTCACTCAGACATTACACCCCTTAACGCCCAGGAACGCTGTAAAAATCTGGTGGACGTCGAGCACGATTGGATCGTCGTGGAGTGCAATCGTCTGATGAGATGCCTGCGTCCAGCGGTGTCGAACTATCTGCTGCGGTGGAGGGGTACGACCGATGCTGCGAAGAACCCTCTGAATTGGACTGTTGTTGAAGTGGAGAAGATGGACTGCTCTCATCCATCGCTGCAGACCCCGATTCCGATGAGGTTTCTGGCTCTTTAGAGTTTTGGTTAAAGAGAGCTAAGTCATTACCCCGTTCAGCTACTTGTCGAATTCTTATCTGATCTAGATGCCGTTTTATGATACGCGAATCGTCGTCCAGCTGAACTGCATATGATATGGGTCCATTCCTTGAATTAATTTTCGCTGGTACCCATTTAGGTCCTGTGGAGTAGTTTCGCACCCACACTGGGTCTCCATCGTTGAAGGACTTCTCCCTGCCAATTTCGTGCTTTGCAGTAGGCAATTCGTGCGGATGAATTTTATCGAAAAATGTCTTTAGTTGTCTCTTAAACATAAGCTCTGCAGGTGAACGCCCAGTAGATGTATGCGGCGTAATATGCTGATTGAAAAGAAACCGTGACAGCCTTAAGTCGATGTCCTGCCACTCTGGTGTTTTCTTCAAGAAGTCCTTCGTTGTCTGCACCATTCGTTCTGCTTGACCGTTGGACGACGGGTGAAATGGGGCACAGCGAATGTGACGAATTAAGTTGTCCTGCATGAATGTTTTAAATTCATCGGATGTAAATGCTGTCCCGTTGTCTGACACTATCTCATCCGGCAGCCCATGAGTTGCGAAGAGTGATCGAAGGGGTTTGATGGCCGATTGGGATGAGGTTGACTTGACCAAGAAAACTTCAAGCCACTTCGAGAACGAATCTACAACGATGAAGAAAATCTTACCTTGAAACGGCCCATCAAAATCTACATGGAGGCGTGACCATGGATTTTTCGTTGTTTCCCACCAATGAACTGGCGCATGAGCATTCTCGTGACGAGTAGCTTGGCAAGGTGCACACATCTTTACAATATCCTCAATCTCCGACTCCATTTTCGGCCACCAGACATAGCTTCTCGCTAAGGCCTTCATTCGCACAATGCCCGGATGGCCAGTATGTAACGCACTGAGGACTACCTGTCGACTTTCTGTCGGGATGATTGTTCTGTTCCCCCATAGTAAGCAACCTTTTAGTGATGAGATTTCTTGTCGGCGAACATAAAAGGGATACAGCCTGTCCGATCGGCTCATGTTAGGTGGCCACCCCCTTAACGCCCAGCTGAGAACTTTTGCCAGGTCCGCATTTTTGGCAGTTTGAACAGCGATATGTTTGGCGTCTACTACGGGCTTGTTGACCATTTCTATCATCAGTACATCTTCCTTAATCATTCGTTGCTCATCCATTAAGGGTAATCGACTCAAAAAGTCAGCGTTCCCCAGCTTATTTCCCGAACGGTATGCAATTTCAAAATCGTACGCATTAAGGAAAATTCGCCGTCGAAGCATTTGCGATGATATCACATTAGGAACGGGCTTGGTCGTATTGAAGATACCCAATAGGGGCCGATGATCGGTAACCAGAGTAAATTTGCGCCCATAAAGGTAGTCGTGAAATTTTTTCACTCCAGCGATTAACGCTACAGCTTCGCGGTCTATTTGGGCGTAATTCCGCTCTGGCTTCGATAAGGTCCTAGAGTAAAATGCAATGGGCCTCTCACACCCCTCAGGCATGCGGTGGCTGAGAACAGCGCCGATGCCATATGGCGATGCATCACAAACTACCACCAATGGCAATTTTGAGCTATAGTGTACTAGAACGCGTTCGGATACTATGAGCTGCTTAAGATTTTCGAACGCCTGTTGTTGTTCCTTTTTCCAGAACCAATGGGAGTTCTTATCCAGTAGGCGATGTAAGGGCTCGGCAATTGTAGCTTTGTTCGGTAAAAAGGAGTGGTAGAAATTGAGGAGGCCCAAGAACGCTTGCAATTGTTTTTTGTCTTGGGGTGCTGGAGCGTTTTGAATGGCCTTGACTTTACTCTGAGATGGCCGAATGCCCAGTGAATCCAGCTTGAATCCCAGGAACTCGATGCTTGAGACTCCGAAGGAACACTTATCCTTTCTTAGTCGAAGACCAGCGGTGTTGAATCGGCTAAATACCTCATGCAGCCGAGCAGCGAGCTCAGCCTCTGTTTTGCCCATTAGAACGATGTCGTCAAAATACGGCAGCACCCCCGGAATATTTCTTAAAAGTGTTTCTATAAAATTTTGAAATATCCCTGGCGCTGAAGAGATTCCAAATTGAAGCCTGGTAACTCTGAAGGCGCCTTTGTGAGTGACGATAGTCTGCAACACGGATGATTGTTCGTCCACTTGCAATTGCTGATAGGCTTGTGCAAGATCTATTTTGGCAAAAATGCTGCCTCCCTCTATAGACGAAAGTAAAGTGTTGATAGCAGGTATCTGGAAGTTGTGCGGCTTTAGTGCTTTGTTAAGCGTCGACTTATAGTCGCCGCAAATGCGGATTGTCCCGTCGCTCTTAGGAACCGGCACAATCGGTGTGGCCCAGTCCGAGTACTCAACTGGCTCTAGGATCCCTTGTGAACATAGGCGGTCTAGTCCAGCTTCGACAAGGCCTTTGGTGGCTAATGGAATACGCCGAGGTGGATATCGAATAGGTTGAACTAACTTGTCGATGTAGAGGGAAACTGGCTTCCCTTTGAAACACCCCAGCTCCTCTGCGAAAAGATGATTAAATTGCTTAAGGATACCTTTGATTGACGATGCTTCTTCAACTGCATTGACGCCCTGAATTGTAATGCCCAGTGGGGTGAACCAATTGCACCCTAATACGTTTGAACGGTTTCCGTCTACGACAACGACGGGTAAGCAGCTGACCTCACGGCCGCCGTATGATACATCTGTATCAACCACACCCATTATAGGAATTCTATTACGTTGAAAATCGACAAGTTCAAGGTCACTGGTGTGCATGATTGGCTTCTGTACCGGCCACACACGTTCAAATGTTGTTGATGACATTATGGTATAGTTTGACCCCGAATCGATTTCAAATGTGCAATTATATCCATTAATACTGATGGTCGCTGATTTTTTCAAATCAACCAGAGGCAAAATTTGATTTATGGATTGTGGTTTCTGCTTTTTTAACCGTCCTGAAGAATGCGATGTCTTTTGCTGATTGGCTGAGTTAGATGCTGATGAGCGACAAACACGTTGAAGGTGACCTTTTGTGCCACACGACGAGCAAATTGTTTCTCGATGCGGACACTGACAGCGGGCATGTGAGCCACCACATCCATTGCATGGCTTTGTTTGTGCGTTGGAACTAGCACGCGTTTTCAAACGATTATGGCGATAGTTGTTGTTGGACGCTACATGATGAACCTGTTCGGAGTGTCGCATTTCAGATGCGTGCTTAAATGCTGCTTCGGCAGTAGCAGCTCGATCGAGAACCTTTTGCAGCTTCAAGTCCGGCTCTGCTAGTAGGTTGCGCTGCAATGCCTCATCACGCAAGCCACATACCAAGCGATCTCTTAGCATGCGATCCAACGCCGTGCCAAAGTTGCAATCAACAGCCAATTTGCGCAAGGCTGCGACGTACTCGGAAAATCCCTCATTAGATTCTTGGTCTCGTTTGTGGAATTTGTAATAAGCCGCGATTTCCGAGGGCCGGGGAGAAAATCATTCTGATTTCATTTATGCTTAGTTGACTCACCTGACGGGGCGAGGCCAATGACGACAGGAGATCATATAATGGCGCTCCGGCTAAGGTGAGAAATACGGCCCTTTGCCGATCGTTGCCCTGTACGTCATTGGCCAGTAAGTAGAGCTCGAACCTCGCATAATACGTAGACCAATTTTCTGGGTGTTCCACGTTGAACGGTTCCAGATTCCCAAGTGTCGACATTATGTGGCGAGAAACGTTTTCCTCAAACTGCAGGTGCTGCGGTGTTAATTGCGCTGTTGGTTTAACTTCTTCTGGCATCGATGTGTGATGAAGTAAAACGAATGATTGCTGAAGGTGACCTTGGCTTGCCCTTTAGCTTTGACTTCTCGCAATATTCACGTTTTAGGTTGCGCAGGAACAACAATAATGTTAAGCGATTTTGTTTTGGCGAACGGTTGCTATATACTAATGAACGTTACGGTATCCTACCGACTGCGCCAATTTAGTATTCAGCAACAACTTTATTAAATATATATAATTAGTTACAATGTTCGCTTGTTGATGTTCGCTACGCGACTGCCTATTATTGCTAAGACTCAAGTTATGTATACTTAGGCTAACCGTAATATTTATAGTATGTGCATACATACATATAAGCTGCAGTGAGCGAACGAGAGTATTTAGTAAGTTTGAGTGCAAGAGATTCACTCAGACATTACAGAAATGTAAATGTATTTATTTTATAGCAGTTTAAAAAACTAATTACAAATCGAATAAACTAAAAACTATGGAACTGAAATTCATTTACATTGCAGTCGAAGTCATTTTTACAAAAAGTAAAAAATAAGAGATCATCTCTTGCATATAGTATATACATATACTTATGTCATATACAAGTCAGACGGATCTCGTAAAAAAATGATGTCAAGTCTCCGATTCGCTTCAAATTTTTTATGGGTTCTATGACATAAGCTAACACGTATTCATCTTCAAAAATTGCAACTGTTAATACGTAAGTTAACTTTAGGACAATCATGACCATCTTATATAAAGTAATGTTAAGCTCGTTTCTTGACCTTTAAAACGACGTTAAGATAAAGGCTTTACGATGAGCAGAACCCGAGATATAACAACTTGAAGAAGTACACGAAGAAATTCGAACTTTGACAGATCATACATATATCCGAAGAAACAAAGAAAAAGTGTGAAGCCAATCAAAATTGTGACACCAAATTTGGTGTCCGATATGAAAAAGAATTCCTGATTTATATGCTACTAGCTTTTACCCGTGGGTTTCACCCCACGTCAGAAGGAATTAAAGGGATAATGTGACTTGTGGTACCGAAGTTATGGCTGATAAAAGATTCCACGCCTATATAAAGTGCTACGCTCTCTTTTACAAACTCATTTATAACAAGTAAGAAAGTCTAAGTTCGGGCGGAGCCGAACATTAAATACCCGGCGCAAGTATTGAATATATGTTTTTTCACCTTTCCGAAAGCTATCGCTAGATGGTATACCGGGGTGTACCAATTTTGAGTAGCGTCCTTAAATTTCGAAATATTGCAGTTTCAAGCATTTCTGAAATTTACCGTTATATGAAAAGCGGCCTCAGTTTTAGTCCACTTTCAATATTTTTCAACGTTTTGCTTTTATGTGGCAAGCTCAATAATCATACCGAGGTTGGTACAAATTGGTAGAACGGTTACCGAGATACATATATGTGATCATAAGTGGGCGGTGCCACGCCCATTTTCCAAAATTTTATCACAAACGTATTTCTTGGTTAAGAGTTGTTGCAAGCATAAATTTTGAATAAATTAGCTTTAATATTTACTGATTTATCGAAGATTTTGTATTTCTCTAAATTACCGTTATATGGGATGTGGGCGTGGTTATTGTCCGATTTTTTAAATTTTCGGCCATTTAGTATGCTGTATCAAGGCCAACAACTGTGCCAAGTTTGGAAGAAATTGGTGCAGCGGTTACCAAGATATACACATGTAACCATAAGTGGGCGTGGCTACGCCCATTTTCCAAAAATTTATAATATTCTTATTTTTCGTCTAAAAATTATTGTAAATATCAATTTTGAGTGAATAATCTTCAGTAGTTACTAAAATATCGCAGTTTTCGTATTTCTGGAAATTACCGCTATATGGGAAGTAGGCGTGGTTATTGTCCGATTTCGCCCATTTTCAATACCAACCTACCTTGGATTAACAGAAACCTACATACCATACATCGTTGAGATATCTCAATTTTTGCTCGAGTTATCGTGTACACGGACGGACGGACAGACGGACAGACGGACGGACAGACAGACATGGCTTAATCGATTTCTCTATTCATTCTGAGCATATACGTATACATTTGTCTATATCTATCTCGATTCGTTTTGGCTGTTACAAACAACCGTTATGTGAACAAAATTAATATACCCTTGTGCACAAGTGCGCTCGGGTATAAAAACCTTACTATAAGCACCTACCATAGATATGTCTGCATACCAAATGTCATGTTTATGTGACTTATGGTTCCGAAGTTATAACTGGTAAATATTCCACGCCTTTGGGATTCGCCGAGCTTCCTTTCACAGTATCATATATATATATACCTTACTATACCTACAATAGATATGTCTGCATACCAAATTTCAAGTTCCGAAGTTAGAGCTGATTAAATAATTCACGCCTGTGGGAGGTGCCACACCCCCTTTTCCAATATCGCCCATATTTTCCCATGAGTATGGAATTAATTTTATTTATCTCGACAGCAAGTTCCAATGGTCTACCACAAATATTTCAAGAGATATACAATATGAAAAGTTTAGTAAGTATAGGAGGTGCCACGCCCTCTTTTCCAGCACTGCCCCTTTTTCTCTATGCCTATAACCTTCCCGGGGTAAAAACAAATAAGTGTGCAAAGTTTCGTGCGATTCCGTGTCGCGGTTCAGAAGTTATAAAGTAATAAACAAACAGACATTCACATTTATATATATAGATATATATTTTAATATAGAATAATACTTGTGATATATGTACATAGAGATTTGTCTATGGCAATAAATTAAAACAACTTACAACAACTTTGGGTATTTCAAAAGTCCACTTTTAAATGAAAATTAGTAACTAAAATAATGATTATAAAGATTAAATTAATAATTCTGTATTTAATCTGGACAATCGAGTAGTAAATTTCAGGGTACATATGTAGATAGTCTACAATTTCCCTACAATTCAATTGTACTATTCTACAATTCAACTTTGATTGTTTTAATTTATTGCCACAGATATAATCGCAGCATTAGTTGCGTTCCAGATGCTTCACGATTTGCAGGTTTTACAGGATTTGCAGGTTTTACAGGATTTGCAGGATAAGCTGTTTCCTTCATTATTAAACCTTATGGAAGGTGGTCACCTGTAAAAACCTGCTAATCGTGAAGCATCTGGAACGCAACTATTTAGGCTAAATATGTATGTTTAATCGGTAGAAATTAAAAAATTGGAATACATATCAATCAAAAACAAAAAAATTTTTAGCAATGTCTTCACCAGAAACCATTTAAGATAAGGGAAATGTGCTTAGCACAGGAAACTAATTTTATTTTAAGCAAAAAGGTACAGCCCCTGCAGTGAAAACCCAAACCAGTTAGAAAAAATACTAGTTCACAAACTAGTATGTGCCTACCAATTCGACATTTTCGAAGAACTTAAGCGTTCAGAGACATCGGCCTTTGAATTGCCAAAGCCTAAAATAAAACGCAATTGCTTTTTCTTACAAATGTCGGCTGTGGCGTCACGTGAAGACTACTGGTTCTGGTTCAGGGATCGTAGGTTTGAGGCCGCTTGGAGGTGGTTAAGATTTTTAAAGTTAGTTTAATGTAAATAGGAATAATTATTTCAATTTAAATATAAATAACAAACTTAAAAATCTAGTTGCATTACAAAAAAAAAAGAAACAAATATATGGGAAGAAATACTTGTGCCATAAAAAAATGGATTAAAAAAATATGTTTTTTATTAAATCTAAGAACAACAAAAAAACCCTTAATAAAAAATATAAATAAAAGAAATATTATAAAAAAAAAAATAAAAAAAAACTTTTCCCTGCACCAGGGCTTGAACCTGGTACCTCAGGCATACCACGCGAGTGCTTTGCTTTCTCGGCCATTGCGACTGTTGGAGCGCCGCGAGCAAAAAGGCATACTAATGCTTTTCATGAATTGGCAGACTATCTCATCAACTGGTATGATGCTACTGGTATTTTTACTAGTAGATGCTGATGCATAGCCTGACAATTGACATCTCGTAGGACATCGCAATGTTAAAAATACCAGTCGCTATCGTGAACTAGTTGGGCTGAAACGCAAACTGGTAAAATTCTAGTTCACAACTAGTAGCTTTCCCTGAAGGGAGGTTTCATAGTAAACGAGTTTTTAAATGAATTGAATGAACGACTTTTTAAGCGTATGCAATCTAGTATACACTTCTTTCACTTTGATTGAAGGTTTAATAAGTGTTCAGGTGAAAAATTTGCAGCTTCTACTTGCACAGCAATGCTCTTCATAAACATCATTACTGGGCTCTCACTTTCGTCCTTATTTTTAAATGAATTCATGGCATCGAGCAATTCCTTATGTACTACGTTTTCTGCCTGCCGTTTGCTCGGCGTACGCTTGGGAGCGGCTACTTCTTCCATAAGAAATTCGCCGTCGTCGCAGTCAGTGTTGCCAGGTCATCGGCATGAGAAAATGTCCCTCTTGGTCTAAAAAACGTCATTTTCTACCCAAAAACGTCTTTTTCAAATGCATGCACAAATAATTGTTCTTATTAAACTTTTATTGTATACAAAGGTACATAAGTATGTACATATATAAGGTATATTAAAATGTCATTTCGACAGAGCACATTTACAATTTATTGTAAACTGGTTTGAGATCGTTAATATAAAAATCATTTTATACATCCACTTGTGATCAGCTGATTCAGTCATCAACATTTTGATCGATTGTGGCTGTTTTTCTTTTGTTTAATTAATGTTTATTCTTTTTCCATAAAAGCCTAGCTCATTATATAACAAACCAAATATAAATCCACATTTCAAACTTTGTGCAAAAATTATAAAAATATCTGCAAAGTATCAGCTAGATTTTCAACTTTTTATTAAGATTTTTAAGAATTTGTTTTGAGTACTCAGCTTGATAGCCTATCAAATTCCAGGGTAATAATGTGCAAGTTATAAGGTGCTAAAGAATCGCGTTGATTTTTAATAATTTTTTTTCTTGTAGACATTTGGTTATGTGGTCGGTTGTCGAA